GAGAGGGGATCAGAGAGAGGATGGCACAACACTAATCACCATGGAAACCAGCCCAGAGAACAACTATGGCACCATGGTAACAGGATGTGGTCAATAACTCTCTGATTGGATTGGAAAGTAAAATCCCTGTAGCTAAAAGATGCAAGTTGAAGTTTCACCCAAACGTGCAGGAAGTCGTCTGATTTCACTGTCGACTCTCAGAGCTGATGGCGGTAAAACGCGATTGTGCTCTCGTATGGTCAGCATGGCTGCAGCATCACTGGTTACACCAGCAGGGGGCGACACACTTTGTTAGGGTCGTACTGGTCTCTGGTTTGGGCTCGTATTCTTGTAAAACATGGAGGCCATCAACGATCATCCAGGATGGTCTCATCAGTTTATCACAAAGCGTTAGCCACGCCTCACTCGTCACAGCTGGTTTCAAAACTTGCAGATGGCGACACTGAGCATGCTCAGTTCACCTAAATCAGTGACATTACAGTATCTATGGCCACCTTTTATACTGTCCAGGGCTCATGCTGGACTGTATTCACAGTTCTCACTGCAAAAAAGTTGTTTAAAGCACAAACTTCAATACAACTGGATGGTAACTTTAGACTCCGCCCCCTTGTGATAGCTACTGCACGCAGCTCTAAACTGTGCTGGGCCTCAAACTAGCAGAAGCTCACAGTTAGTGTGAAGACGGTTCCGCATGTCTGAGTGAAAGCAGGTGAAGCTTCACCACAGCTTCGCTCTCTCTGCTGCTTTTTAATTAAACTGGGCTGCGGCAGGAAACAGGAAGTGCATGATGAGGAGAGACTGAGCGTCTCCACTCGGTTCAGCACTGAGTGATCAAACGGTTGATGTTTGTTCCGCTCTTGCTCTTGTGCGTCTGTCGTCGTCCTCGTTAGCGACAATGGAGACGTGAAACAGCAGGAAGAGTGGCCCAAAGTGTTTAGGAGCCAATAAAAACACGAAGCTTCCCGCTTCCGGACCAGTAGCAGCCCAGAGCCACGCAAACACGCCAGCGTAGCCTTTGGGAAGTGGCTGCAGGTTTCACGAACTTCTCGAGAATCCTCGGAGCTGTTCATAGAAAGAAATTAGCTCAGTGACCGTGAAAGGTTTACCTCCATACCTCATCGTTACACGTATCATTAAACAGGATGAATACCGCAGTTACATAGAATCATAGACACACATTAGCCTCACCGCTACGTTTGACAGCCATGTGCTGACAGCTGAGGTGTTTGTCTTCACATCTGGGCTGCTGCTGTGAGTGTCGAGCTGTGATCAGCACTTTTGTTTTGGCTCTTGGGACTTTATAATACAGCCCACGGCTAAGAGTGCTGCTGTTTTAGGATTAAGTGGCTTTTCCAGGTGCGTTACCTGATATCATGATTGAATTAGGATTACTTGCTGGTGGGTACATTAGAATAAGGAGGTAATAGTTCATGTTTTTACCAGGAAGAAGGAATAATTCTGTAATTAACTTTAAGTATTGAGTACTTTCTGGGTATTTTAGCAGGAAAGCAAACAAAATGATGTCATCTTACATTGTAAATACACTGTGCTTTCAGGGGTGTGGGCCATGTTATGTAGTATTTTATTACACATATAACATAAAAATATGTGAAAAGAGCTGTTGTCCTTTTCCTCGTGAGGAGATAAAACAAAGAGCAACAAACGCAGGATCATGTGATCTTTACAAACACTTCAACCAGAATTTTCAGAAGGACAGAAAACATCAATCAATATATGTATATATTCATGTATGTGCAAATCAGCAGGTTATTAGCCATGGGCGTTTTTATTTTATACGAGAACATTGATTCTGTCAGTTTTTCCTCCTTCATGATGATTCAGTTTTCTGTTGGTTTGAAAGTTCTGTTTTGGATTCATCAGGAAAAGATTTCAGTCCACGCTGCTGCTTGTGCCATCCATCCATCCATCCATCCATCCATCCA